CTAGTACGAACGATAGTCGACTAGTAGTACGATTGACATTACTAACCAGAACCCAATAGTACTATATGCGTTGGTAGCATCACCAATAATACGAGTAGCACTGGAAACATATTAGTAGACACAATATTGATGAGTTAAAAAATCGTGATAGCAGTGATCAGGCATTAACACTACTAGTAGTACTAGTCGTACTAGATAGCCCATTACAAGTACGAATGGTAATAGTAAATGCCTCAGTACTAGTACGACTCGTAATAGTAGTAGTGGTAGAAATAATAGAAGAAATAGTAGTCATACTAGTAAATAGTAGTAGCAATAGGAATAAAAGTAAGAGTACATAAATGGTGGGCATAATATTGGTAATAGCAGTAGTGAGTCGTGGTAGTCGTAGTACCAATAGAAATAACACTAATAGTAGTAGTACTCGTAGTAATAATGGTAGTCGTAGTCGTGCGACAATCGTAGTACTAGCCGTCGTGTTGGTACCAGTAGCAGTGGGAGTAGAGTAATAGTCGTAGTAGCGGTAGTAGCAACAGTAATCGTAATAGTAGTAGCCGTAGTAGTAGTAGTAGTAGTAATAGTAAGAGTAGTAGTGGTGGTCGTGATAGTAGTAGTAGTAGTAGTAGTAGTAGGAGTAATAGTATTAGTAGTAGTAGTAGTAGCAGTAGTAGTAGTAGTAGTAGTAGTTGTAGTAGTGATGGTGGTAGTAGTAGTGGTAGTAGTAGTAGTTGTAGTAGTAGTAACAGTAATAACAGTAAAAGAAAAAAACGGAGTAGTAGTAGTAGTAGTCGTAGTAGTAGTAGTAGTAGTAGTAGTAGTAGTAGTAGTAGTAATAGTAGCAGTAGTAGCAGTACTAGTAGTAGTAGTAGTAGTAGTAGTAGTAGTAGTAGTAGTAGTCGGAGTCGTAGTAGTAGTAGTAGTAGTAGTAGTAGTAGTAGTAGTAGTGGCATTACTATTTTTTGTTGTGGTACCAGTAGCGGTGGTTAAAACACCAGTAATGGTAGTGCTATTACTAGTAGTACGTGGTGGATGTAGTTATCGATTGTAGGTTCTCTGGGCGCTCTCGGGAGGCCTCTCGGAGCTCTCTTGAAGTCTCTTGGAAGCCTCCTGGGAGCCTGGAGAACCGCCCGACAGCTATCCTGGGTTGCTTGGGACCGTGTTGGGCAATTCTTTTACGTTTTGGAGGGCTTTTTGGGGTCGTCTTGGGTCTTGGGCTGTCCTTGGGCGTTTTGGGTGCTCCCAGGGAGGACCAGAAGCGCGGTACCGGGAATATTCCGCAGATGTTCCGGGAAGGTGTGGGATCCCCGGGAGGGGGGCGCGCATTTGTTGAGTATGACAAAAAATCCCTGAAATTCCATATTCTTGATCAAATTATTTGGTCTTGGAGCGTTCGAAGCTGGAAAACGTAAAAATAACAATAATAATAAGAAGAAGAATAACAATAATAATGATAATAATAAAAACATTGGAAATCAACGATTTGACCCTCTTTGGCCTCTCTCGGGACGGCTCTCGAAGCTCTCTTTAGCTGTTTTGGGGGCCTCGTCAGAGTTTTTCTGAGGGCCTCTCAGGGGTGTGTTGGAGGCCTCTGGGGGGTCCTGGAGTTTTCTCAAAGGTCTCTGGCGGCCTCCTGCTCCCGCTCTTGGGCTCATTTTGGGCCTGTTCTGGGGTGGTCTGGAGCTGTCGGGGGCGCCTCTTCGGCAGTCTTGGGGCCGTCTTGGCCCGTCTTGGGGCCGTCTTGGGGGCCTCTTGAGCGGTCTTGGGGGCCTCTGCGGCCGTCTTGGAGCGTTGGGAGCATGAAATGGTGAGACTGCCAAAAACCATGGAACAAACACTGAAAATTATCGATGTTAGGTTCTCTGGGTGCTCTCAGGAGGCCTCTCGTGGCTCTCTTGAAGTCTCTTGGAGGCCTCCTGGGAGCCCAGAGAACCGCCCGAAAGCTACCCCGTTTCTTTTGGGGGGAGCGCCTTGGGCAAACATTTTACGTTCTGGGGTTTCTTGACGTCGTCTTGGGCTGTCCTTGGGCATTGTGGGGCTCCCCGGGAGGCCGGGAAGCGCGGTATTGGGAGCGCGCGCGAGTTGTGACCGAGGTGGAGGACGCCCCAGGAGGGGGCTGGGCGTATTATATATACACATATACAAATAACATATATATACATGTCTGTGTGTATGAATATCTGTATATATAGCCCAATCTATGTGGTGCAGTTTACGCGGTGCAATATATGTTTTGCAATGTTGGGCAGCGACGGGTTGGCGACGGTGGCCAAATAACAGCAAGACCGAAGACACGCCCCACACGACGGGCGGCGACGTGGCGGCGACTTGGCGGCGACGGCGGCCACATAGCCGCCAGACCTGCCACGCGGCCCAGACGACGGGCGGCGACGATGCGGCGACGGGGCGGCGACGCCGGCCACATAGCCGCCAGACCGACCACACGGCCCAGCACCTCAGGGGACAAATGAAAGCCCATACGTGCAAGCACGATTTGGTGAATTTCTGTTTATCCCCAACCATCCTGTAGTGTTCGGTCCTCGCTTTGAAGAGGCAGCGCCCCGCTTTCCTCTCCTTCAATTCCTTCATTCCTCCTCCCCCTCCTCCTCCTCCTCCTCCTCGCTCGCTCGCTCGCTCGCTCGTTCGCTGACTGAAGGCCGATGAGTACGCAGCCTCTTCCAGGATGGTGAGAAGAAGAAAAGAGCACGACACAAGCGCAGGGTTGTTGTGACATCAGGGGCCCCCGCCAACCGCCACCCAGGACTTGCAGAGAGGCCTCGGACCTACATCAGAAAGGGGTCCAGAGGCCTCCAGTGGGCAAGGCCAGGAGGGAGATCAATCGCCTCCTCGCTCATATGCTTAAGACCGCCCCTGCACCACACATCGCACACCGAGTCCGCCAACAGGCGGTGCAAGCAAGTGGGGATGCTGACACACAAACTCTCCTGCTGCATCAGCTCCCCCCCGATATGCCCATGGCCCCCGTTGCACATCCACCCCCCCATCCGCGCGCATCCTGGTCGATAAAGTCGGGGCTGAGCTCGCCACGACGCAGAGAGCATCCCACACGGTCCCATGGGTTATGGCGCACACCTCGCATTTAGACACTTGGACCTGAGGCAGGGAGACAAGGGCCGACAGGAGAGGAATCCCGTTCGGTGTCCAACCAACCTGCTGCTCAGCTACAGTCAGCCAAGGGATTCCCAGGGCACAGGCGTGAGCGCACGAGCAAATAGCAGCCCGAGTGCAGCCCTTCTACCCATCGAGCACACAACGCCCCTTGAGGTTGCAATTCGGGCGACCCCCAGGGTGCTCAGGAAAGCGCAGCTGTTTCACGAGCCCGCGAAGAGCGGCAGCAAACCGAGGAACAGAAAACATCCGCCAACAATCCCTCCTTTGGCCATAGCGTCAGTCCCAAACGGAACCTGCCCCAGGAAGTCACCCACCGAGACGTGAGCCACGGCGACAGACGCAAGCCTCTGATGCGAACAGCTCTCAACGCATTGGTGACAGTCGCCGTCGCTTCTGACGCCAGCGGCGACAAGCAAAACATGGTCGACCCACGAGCCCGGAAAGGAACAAAGAAATGTAAGACATGGCAACGTTTCAAAGACACCTGATTGGGCGACGACGGGCAAATGCAATGCTGAATGTATCGATCTTGATGTACTGTGCCGAGCGCTGTGCTGTGCGACGCCGTGCTGAACTACGATGTGCCATGCCGCGATTGTGCTCTATATAGCGTTGTGGATCGAGTCCTCCCTGGCATCCGAGTCCTGACCGAACTGGTCTGGATCTTAAGCTCGAGCTGCCTGAACAGATGGTAGCTGCCCCAGAACGAATCGACAAAGGGGACATGCCAGGAGGACGCACCGCGAAACGTCTCAAGGGACGCGCCAGGCGACGTGCCAGGGGACGCGCCGTGGGCACGCACCGCGGGACGTCCCAAGGGGACGCGCTACGGAACGTACCAATGGACGTGCCGCGAGACGCGCCAGGGGACGCGCCGCGCGACGTGCCAGGTGGACTCGCCACGGAACGCGCCAAAGAACGCGCCAAGGTGCAGTGTTGGATGTGTCGATCTTGATGTACCGTCCCCATGCGTCCCCCACACCCATTTCGGCACACCCCTCACCCGTTTCGTGGCCCCATAAGGAGCTCCACCGAAGGCCCCAATGCCACCGTCCACATGCGTCCCCCACACTCATTTCGGCACACCCCTCACCCGTTTCGTAGCCGCATAAAGAGCTCCACCGAAGGTCCCAACGCCACCGTCTACATGCGTCCCCCACACCCATTTCGGCACATCCCTCACACGTTTCGTGACCCCATAAAGAGCTCCAAGGAAGGCCCCAAGGCTACCGTTCACATGCGACCCCACCCCCATGTCAGCACACCCCTCACACGTTTCGTGGCCCCATAAACAGCTCCAACGAATGCCCCAATGCCACCGTCCACATGCGCCCTCCACACCCATTGCGGCACACCCCTCATACGCTTGGTGGCCCCATATCATAGGAAGCTCCACCGAAGGCCCCAGTGCCACCGGACCGTCCACATGCGTTCCCCAGATTCATGTCGGCACACCCCTCACACGCTTCGTGGCTCCAGAGGAAGCTCCCCCGTATGCCCCAGTGCCACCGTCCACATGCGTTCCCCACACCCATTCGACACACCCCTCAAACGTTTCGTGGCCCCATAGGGAGCTCCACCGAAGGCCCCAGTGCCACCGTCCACCTGCGTCCCCCACACCCATGTGGGCACACCCCTCACAGGGTTTGTGGCCCCATAGGGAGCGCCACCGAAGACGATACTCACACTTGCGATACGCACAATTGTATAAGGTTGGGCCCTTCGCCAGGCAAATGTTCCTCCTCCTCGACGTCCTCCTCTTCCTCCTCCTCCTCGTCCTCCTCCTCCTCCTCCTCTTCCGCCTCCCTCCTCGTCCTCCCTCACCTCCTTCTCCACCTTCTCTTCCTCGTCGCCCCCCCCCCTCGGGCGCCTCACTTCTGACCGCCGATCAGCCCGCCCACCAGCCGCGCGACCACGCCGTCCAGAGGACCAGCGCCGTCAGCGCCAAACGCAGCGGGATTAGTCTTCCTGCGGGCGGCATCCCAGGCCTCTCCTTCCTCGGAGGAGGGAAAAATGACAACAAACCCTCAAACCAAGGCGTTGCAATTTTTTGCACCGGGCGTTTTCGGCCGGGTTCTGGGGCACGACACCGTCACGGATCGATCTGGCTCGAGAGCTACACAGAAACTGGGCCTCGATGTCTCACAATGTGCAACTTGTTCCACCCCGTCGGATCCCTGGGGAAGAGGGGGGGAAATACCCGGGAGGTGTCGGGGGGGAAGGGGAAGGCGAAGAGGAAAAATCAGCAGAGAGGAAGAGGACTTGAAGTGATATGGCTTCGGGGCGCCTTAACCCCATGGTTGAAGCCAGTGACCTGGTATTACCACCCTTGTACCACTCAAGGTCAGGGCCACTTTGGGACAAAGCGAAAATCTGTCTGGAGGGCGTCCCACAAGACAACGCCGGCTTTGTCCAACAAAGCTTGCCCTCCCTCGAGTGCGACAGCCCAGCATGAACGCAGCACCCGATGGGATGGTGCAGTCAGGGCGGATAGAACCTGAAGGTCCCTATTGTTTCTAGCTGGATTGCCGAAGCTCAAGTGATTTCCCCCACCTTTGAGCAGGGGCTAACCTACTCATGCTTCGCATAGTTGTTTGGGGTCGTCTTGGGACCCGCTCGGGTCCTCGCTGGCCCCTCTTCAGGGCTCCGTGGGTGGTGACTGCCGCGCCCGCAACGACAATCTGGCCTTCCCACAGCCGCCTAATCGGGCTCAAGTTTTCACATGCCATGCCCCCCCCCATGTTTGTGTGGGGGATGCCCATACCTGTCCATCGACAGGGATGGGCATCTTAGCTTTAAGCTATTTGGCACCGACAATGCCGTAGGTGAAGAAAGGGGATGCCCATGCCTGTCCATCGACAGGGATGGGCAGCCTAGCTTTCGGCCATGGGGTGGAGACCAACACCTGTTGACCAGCCTAGCTTCGGCCTAGCTTTCGGCCAGATCCTATTTGACACCGCCAGTGCCAAAGGCTGCAGCGGTCGCTATGGTAGCATGGCCTTTTTCGCGGCCATTGCGCGAGCCATGACCTTTTCACGGCGACCCTGCCTTCGAGGGACCAAGCCCTCACCAGCGCGCGCTATGCACGCGGCTGGGGTCAGAACCCTCGCCGCTGAACCACAATAACACAAAAGTGCCCGGTGGTCACGTTAGCGGGTCCCCTAATGCCGACTGGGCCCGCGCCCAAGCAGTAAGCACCCCCGCCGGGGCCCCTTGACCCCCGCCGATGTGCTAACGCCTGAACTCGTGGCTGCAGCCGGGCACGTGCATCTTCGCGAGACCCGAGATTGAGCTCTTGCCCGCGGCCGAAGCACGCGGCACCGGTTTTTGGGCCCGTGCCCAACCTAGCGCCCGCGGACAAGGTCCGCGCCCACTCAATCGGGCTTCGCACCATCCGCGACCAGGGCCCATGACCCCGCCGCTATGCCTGTCCCTCCCCTGGTCTGCTGCGGTCGGCGGCCATGGGCTGCGCCCTCGCCTGTGACCAAGCTCAATCCTGAGTGGCTCTTAAGAGGGTGCTGGGGAAGAGGGAGGGGTTGGAAGGCGCCTCAACTCCTGGGGATAGGGTCGGGAGCGATGGCAGACAGTGCGCAGGCACCGTCTTGCGACCCACGCCCAGCCGAGCACCGCTGGGATTTACACAGCCTTCAAACATAACCCGTTTGTCAGGTCTTGGCACCGAGGCCAAAACCTCGCTCTGTCAGAACGCGGCACGTGAGACTCCTCTTCCTCCTCCACCACGTCCATGCGGGGGGGTTGGATGGGGGGGAGGGAGGGGTCGGGGGCTCCCCAGTTCCTGGGGAAAAGGTCGAGAGCCCTGACCCACGCCCGAGCACCTCTGGGATTTGCGCAGCCTTCCACCATCACCCCTCTGTCAGGTCTTGGCGCCGAGGCCAAAACGTCGCTCTGTCAGAGCGCGGCATGTGAGACTCCTTTTCCTCCTCATCGCTCGTCCATGGGGGGGTGGGGTTGGAGAGGAAGGAGAAGGTTTGTTGGGGCTGGGGATGGTGCCGCCAAAGCGGTCTTAAGCCTGCGCCTGTTGGGCTGGCCCGCGCCCGTTGGTGGGCCCGACGGTATCTAAACAAAACCGTCGCCTACCCGACGCGGTCGATGTCGGAGACTGCCGCGCCCGCAACGGCAATCTGGCCGTCCCACGGCCGTCTTAGCGGACCACAGTTTTCGTGCGCCAAGCAAACCCCAATTTCGGGGGAGGGATGCCCATGCCTGTCCATCGATAGGGATGGGCATCCTAGCTCGAGGCACGATGCATGGATTCCAACACCTGTGCATCGACAGGGGTAGGCATCCAGACCGGAACGGCGCCTATTTGACACCCTCGGTGCCGGAGGCTGCTGCACTCGCTATGGCAACATGGCCTCTTCGCGGCCATTACGCGAGCCGTGGCTTTCATGTACCCCCTCTTTGCGAGAGCGGGAGGCCCATGCCTGTCCCTCGACAGAGATGGGCATCCTAATTCGAAGCTCGATGGGCGTCCGGGAACCCAACTCAATACGACGCCAAGCGGCTACCTTCTATGTCTAAGGCTGCCTTGCCCGCAGCCGCGGGAGGCCGCCCCACGGCCATGGGAGCGGGTCACAGTTCTTGTATGCCAAGCATGCCAAGCAAGCTCTCATTGCGAGGGCAGGGTGCCCGTGCCTGTCCACCGACAGGGATGGGCATCCTAGCGTTAGGCCCGAGTCTAGATGCGAACTCCTGTCCATCGACAGGGGGGACATCCAGATCAAAACGGCGTCTTCCTGACATCGTCAATGGTGAAGGCTGGCGCGCCCACAACAGCAGTTTGGCCGCTGCACGGCCCTGGGAGCGGGCCATGACGTGCGTGTACCAAGTAACCCTCATGTACTGTACGAGGGAGGGGATGCCCACGCCTGTCCATCGACAAAGTTGGGTATTCCAGAATACGGCACAAACAACGGGTGCCCACTCCTGCCCATCGACAGGGGTGGGCACTCAACTCGGCACGGCGCCTACATGAGACCGACGAAGTCGAGGGTTGCCGTGCTCGCAGTGGCCGTGGGGCCGTCGAACGGCCACTGAAGCAAGTCAAAAACAACCAGTGGCGCGCTAGCCGGAGCTAACTAAACGCCACCCGCTTGCCCGACCAGTTAACCTCTGGTTGTGTCCAGAGGTCAGAACACTGCCTCCCAAGAAATCGCGCCTTGTTGGCGCGGGGTGCCGCGCCTGCAGCGGAAGCGTGACCGACTCGGGGCCACCTACGCAAGCCAATGGTGAGCTTGAAACTGGATGCCGCCGCCTGTGCATCGACAGGCACGGGCATCCCAGCTCGCACCTTGCGGACGGTCTCAAGAAGACCTAGCGGCGGTGCAGTGGGGGCCTGCACGCAGGCCCCCATGCCACTGTCGCCCCTCTGTTCACTCCACGGAAGGCTCGCCTGGGGTGCTCATCGGAATTGGATGTCCCACAAACTTAGTGGCGCCCCGTGCGTCCCCATGCGATACGCCCCCCGAGGAGTATAGAACAGAATTGGCACGGGGCAGAAAGGAGGGGGAGGAGGAAGAGGATGAGGATGAGGAGGAGGAGAAGGAGGAGGAGGAGGAGGAGGAGGAGCTGGAGGAGAAGCTGGAGGAGGAGAAGGAGAAGAGGGAGGAGGAGGAGGAGGAGGAGGAGGATGGAAGGAGGAGGGAAAGCAGGGAGGGAGGATGTGGACGACGACGGGCAAGAGGGGACACTTGGGAAAAAGAGGGACGAAGGCTACAAAGGAGAATAAGGAAGAGGATGAGGATGAGGATGAGTAGGAAGAGGAGGAGGAGGAGGAACATTAAACAAGAGGAGGAGGCGCAGGAGGGGGAGAAGGAGGAGAAGAGGGAGGAGAAGGAGGAGGAGGAGGAGGAGGACGAGGAGAAGGAGGAGGACAAGGAGGAGGAGGAGGAGGAAGAGGACAAGGAGGGGGAGAAGGAGGAGGAGGAGGAGGAGGAGGACGAGGAAGAAGAGGAGGATCATGAGTAGAAAGTCTGAAGTCCGTGGCCCCTGGCGCCTCCGCGTGGGGCCCACAAGCATGCATGCCCCCCTGCCTTTGAACCTCGGATGACTGTTTCCCCATCCCCTATCCCCCCCCCAGAAGTAGCAGGGAAAAAGAGAAAACAAAAAAGACGGAGGAAAAAGAGGGCTCAACTCACTTTGCCGTAATGTTGGGATGTGTTTGAGCCGATACGCGAACCGTGAAACATTGCCGTGGTTCCGCGCACACGACGTGGCGGGAAAAATACAAAACTTGTTTGTCTTCCCGTCCCCCGAAACGCCCGTGGTGGGGTACCGGCAACGTGCTCGGGGCCCCGTGGGGGCGTCACCCCTACTGGGTCGGGCCCCAGGGCGCGGGCATGGTAGTCGCGGAGTAATGGAAGTAGCAGTACCAGCTGTACAGCAATCGCTGGAAATGTCCACGCCGTTGACATTTATATATACACACACATATATACTAGAACCACGCGCGCGCTTCGCGCGCGCTTAGGTTCTAGCTAGGAGGCGAGCTTGAGTCAACGAAAGTCGCAGGGAAGGGGGCAGGGGGAAGAAGGCCAGAGAGCGCTGAAGGATACAAATACTGGAACCCTCTTGTGATTTTGTGGGGGGCCTCGTCCGGCCGCTCGCTGGGAGTTTGACGTAGCTTCTCGGGAGCCTCTGAACCTGTCGGGGGCCTCCTGGAAGCAGGTTCGAAGCATTTTGGGGGCCGATTTGGGGCTTCTCGGGGCCTCCTTTGGGCCTCTTGGGGGTCTCCTGGGGCCTCTTGAGGGGCCTCCTTGGGGCCTCCTGGCGGCCTCTTGGGGCGGAAGGCTCGAGCTTGCGGTTCGTGGTCCCCCTCTGGGCCCCCTCTTGGGCCCGTCTTGGGGCCCTCTTGGGCCATCTTGGGCGCCTCTTGGGCCGTCTTGGGGCCCTCTTGGGCTGTCCTGGGGCCCTCTTGGAAGCTTCTTGGGCCGTCTTGGGGCGGTCTT